TATATAAATATATTTTTTTATATACACACATACACACATATGCTTAGTATGCATATATTGAGTGAAATGAATGAAAGCAATGATACAAGGGACAGGAGGGAGGAATTAGGATTATTCTTTTTATTTTAAGGACCCACACTACCTGTGAAGTGGTATAGTAGTATTTGAAAGTGCACTTAGATTAGCTGTAAGTATATATTGCAAGCTCTAGGGCAACTGCTAAAAAAAGTAAAAAACAAAAAAAAAAGCATAACTAATATGCTAAGAAAGGAGAGAAAATGGAATCACATAAAATGTTCAATTAAAACACCAAAGGCCAAAAAAAGTGGAAGAGAAAAGCAGTAACAAAGAATAAGGGCAACAAATAGAAAACAGTAACAAATATGGTAGATATTAATCCAACTATATCAGTAATCACTTTGAGTGTCAGTGGTCTAAATGCACCAATTAAAGGACACAGATTGTCAGAGTGGATCAAAAAACAAACCCAACTATGTGTTGTCTACATGAAACCTACTTTAAATATAAAGACACATATGGATTAAAAGGTAAATGGAAGGAGGAAAGTACACCTTGCTAACACTGATGGAAACAGAGCAGGAGTAGCCATATTAATTTCAAACAGAGCAGACATGGACAGATCCAGTAGGCAGAAAATCAGTAAGGACATAGTTGGACTCAACAATACCATCAATCCACTGGATATAATTTACATCGATAGACCTCGCCATCCAACAACAGCAGAATTTACATTCTTCTCAAGCTCACATGGAACATCAAGCTCAGCAAGATAGGACACATTCTGCGTCATAAAACACACCTTAACACATTTAAAAGAATAGAATGGGGGTGGGTGGTGGGGGGTGGAAGAAATGAGTGAAAGGGGTATAAAAAAGTTATAAAACAAGTTTGGGGCTGGCCCTATGGCCTAGTGGTTGAGTTTGGCACGCTCTGCTTCAGTGGCCCGGGTTCAATTCCCGGTGCGGACCTCCACCACTCATGGGTGGCCATGCTGTGGCGGCGATCCACA